TGTAGAGGGAAGGTGAGATTGATACCAAGAAGCCTACAATCTCATATGTAAATGCACATCCTTTGAGACCATTTTTAGACTCTGACAATCTTAGAGTCAAAGGGAGGTTTAGAATTAATCTTAGCCCCAGTGGCCTGTTGCCCAGTAAAGAAATATCATCCAGCTCTACTTGAAGTCCTTTAGTAATAGGCACCTCAGTACTCTTAAGACATCACATTCCATTGTGGGTTTTTTTTTTTTTTCCTCCTCTTTGGCAACCAATTAAAACTTCAAACTGTCAGATAATTGAAAACATATAGTCATGGAATGCTGAAAGTATTCAAGACAACTTCACCCCATTTCCTGGTGAACCAAGATGAGGAAACTGATGCTCAGAAAAGGGACAGAATTTTCCCAAAGTCACACAGTTGGTTGGTGGTAGACCTAAAAGTAGAATTCAAGTCTGCATATTCAGGGCCCAGTGGCTTCTCTACTTCCCATATACAAAGAGAGGAGTTGGCCCAGCTTTAAGACCAATTACTCAGTGACTATACTACCAACGCTTCAGCTTCTTTTTCCTAACTCCCACAGCTCGATAATGGCTCATTTTACCCTCAACAGAAAAAATTCCAAAGGGTGGGCTGGTTCATGGAGAGATGGATTGTAGAAGGGAAGTATGCTGCCTACTCTCTTTGGCTTATCCACAATGGTGACTAACAACCTCCTGGAAGTAGGACATCTTACTGTTTGATTCCACCATATATTACATGGAAATTCCTTTATCCTTGAGAATAGAGTGATGTCTTTTGGTGATGTTTGGAGGGCATAATAACTGTTGTCACCCCAAGATAGGGAGAATTAATTTCTGATCACTCAGAAACCACTTGATGAGTACCTTCTATGCTAGGCATTCTGTTAGAACTTAGTGGCAAGAGAGAAAACCAGAGGTAAATAAAGCATATATTCTCCATATTTAGGAGATTGTAGTCTGGTGGGGAACATAAAAAATATATACCATTAACTCTGATCCAAGACAGACTATAGCCATCCTCATGTCTATGTACACAAAATAATATTAATTGTATTTTACATACTGATGGTGAAACTGACCCATATCCTTCCTGTTAAGTTCCCATGAAGATAATACATGGGTGGACCTAGTTTCCAAAAAGAAAGCAGTGAAAAAGCAGCTTCTGCTTCAATATGAAGCTTCAGCACTGAGGAGTGGCTCCAAAAGATGATTCATTCTCTGCAGGAGGCATTCAAGTGGAGCAGGTCAAGAAGACATCTAAAGAAAGGAATTCAGCCAGGCGCGGTGGCTCAGCACTTTGGGAGGCCGAGGAGGGTGTATCACGAGATCAGTAGATCGAGGCCAACCTGGCCAACCTGGTGAAACCCTGTCTCTACTAAAATAGAAAAAATTAGCCAGGTGTGGTAGCACGCACCTACTCAGCTACTCGGGAGGCTGAGACACACTTGAACCTGGGAGACGGAGGTTGCACAGTGAGCCAAGATCGCACCACTGCACTCTAGCCTGGTGACAGAGCAAGGCTCCATCTCAAAAGAAAAGAATTCTCTCAAAGAAGGGAATAACTGCTTTAAGGTAATTGGAGAATCCATCTTTCTTTTGTCTCATTCTTTAGTGCCAGAGTTGGCCTAATTGCCCAGCTATCTATCACCTTAAACCCTAACAGCAGTGGAAATTGAAAAAACATACTGAACTTGGAGTAAGAAAAATGTGGCTTCCAGTTCTGGCACAGATACTTACTAACTAAATGATCTGTTTGGCCACCTGTATAATATATATAAGCAAATCTGCACTTCCCTCAGTTGAAGATAAAGAATCACTGGGATCATAGATTTGAAAGTATTTGGCACATAGTGGAAAAAACGATTTATATTCTTTAATTTTTCTTTTTGAGATAGGGTCTCACTTTTTTGCCCAGGTTGGGATATAGTGGCATGATCATAGTTCACTGCAACCTCAAACTCCTGGGCTCAGGAGATTCTAGTGCCTCAACCTCCCAAGTAGCTTGGACTATAAGTGCCCAGTATCCAGTGCCCTGCTAATCAAAAAAAAAAAAAAAAAAATTACATAGACAGGGTCTCGCTATGTTGCCCAGGCTGGTCTTGTACTCCTGGACTCAAGCCTTCCTCTAACCTCAGGCTCCTAAAGTGCTAGGATTACAGGAATGAGCCACTATGCCTGATCAGAAAAAATAGTTTAAAAGATAATAAATTACAAAGAAATTTGTCACATTTACCCATTCTGTTCCTTTTGCAGAAGTCCTCATTACTATGAAGACATACTCATACCCCAATTTATAGACTTCAAAACCAGAGCCATATTTGACTTGGCACCATGCCAGATAAGAAATGGTACAATTAGCTGAGCTGTTTGACCTGGGCACAGAAGATACAGGGGGATCTGATCTCTGATCTTCAGATCTCTGAAAAACTGTCATGGAAGAAAAAGAACAGACTGCTCTAGGTGGCCTCAAGGGGAATGACTAGGATATCCAGGTACAAGCTTTAGGAAAACAAAGTTAAGCTAAGAAAAGGAAGCACTTTGAGCAGTCCAAGGCTTTCCCTGAAGTGAATGGGCTTTCTCAGGAAGAAGTAAGGAACTCCCTCTAGAAGTGTTCAAGCAGAGATTGGCAGGGATGTTTTAATGTGGAGTCCATTAGGGTAAAAGAAAATTACAAACCATGAAATTCTATTTGTCAGGCACTGTGCGCTAAACCCTTGGCAGGAAATATCTGTTTTAATCCTCTCATAACACCATGATGTGAGTACTATTATCCCTTTTTTTTAGGGTAGAAGGCTGAGGCTCAAAGAATTTCACTACTTCTAATTTGGCTTACTACTGGCATGGTGGGTGGTAGGAGCAATTATTTGTTGCACCTGTTTGGCATTCAATGCAGTAGTACCTTAGACTGTGTGTAAAACACACAAACACACCACACATACTTCTAAATGCTTTGTGGAAATACCTATCCTAGTTGGGAATGTCAGGTACATAATATGTTTAGGATCACAAACAGCAGACAAATAGCAGACCCAGGACTTGAATACAGCTGTGTCTAGCTCAGAAAGTGCATATCCTTTCTATTGCATTTTCCACAGAAGTGACATGGGAATGTACAACCTTTTACCTTCTAAGCCAACTCGAAAAGATTCTGATTGTCTCTTTCTTCCTTTTTCAATCCCATATAATTTATCAACTACAAAGTTCCATAGATTCAACTTTTGTGATGGCTTGTTAAATTCATTACCTCCTTTCTATTCCCATAGCCACCGCCTCAGTCCCAGGGCCTTGTTCCCTCACTGCCTCTAGTTTATCCACCTCTTGTGTTTTCCTATTCCATTCCAGCTGACTAACCTTTTTTTTTTTAACCAGATTACTGTTCCTAAAGCAGAGGATCTTTTTTTTTTTTTTTTTAAGCTAAGAAACTTTCAATGGCTTTCTTTTGTCTGCCAAATCAAATCAAAACCCTAGCATCCACTGTCTTTTGCAGTTTACCACCCATCTGCCTTGGCAACTTTAACTTACATTTTCCTGCTAATTCTAAAATCCAGGTCAGCTGGTGTTCTTTTCATATGCCCTGAGCTTCCCTGCCTTAAAGCAGTTGTTCCTGTTATTTTCTCTGCTTAAACTGTCTTCTCTATCTCCACCTGTTGAAATTTTATCTGTGTGCCACAGTCTATCTTAAATAATAATAGTTAATATTTATTGAGTGTTTATTTTGGGCCAGCCACCATGCTAAGTGTGTGAAAGTATTTTATATGGATTATATCATCTAATACTCACAACAACCCTATGAGGTAGATGCTATTATTATCCACTTTAGCCTGGAGTTAACAGAAACTCAGAAAGGAAGAAGTAATTTTATTTGTCCAAGGTCACACAACTTAATAAATGGTGAGTATGAGATGTGAACTCAAATAGTCTAACTCTGGAGCCCTGAAAGGCATTGCAATTTTTAAAAACAATCAAAAAATATTTTTCTGATTTCATATGGTTCAACTTGATATGATCTTTACTTGGCAGCCTCTGAGCATTTTGATTTAACTTTTAAAACCTCTCTCCTGTTATATTTATATTTATCTGTGTTTTTTATATCCATGATGACACTGTCAGGCCCCAGTGGGTACAGCCTAAGTCTCAGACAAACATCTCACTGTCTCACACATGGTGGCACAGACTAGGTGCTCAGTGAGTCTGCTGAGTTGAAGGTATGCTGTGGTGAAGGAAGGAACAGAGGAGTTATCTAGGGGAGATGGTGCAAACTTTCCTGCCCCAGCTACCCAGCATGACATTGGCGAACTCTGCCAACACCTGTCTAAGTCAGACCCTGAAGTCTCTGTTTTCCTAGCCTGATCTCTGGCGGGTCCCTTCTTGTCCCCCAGTTCTTGCAGCTTGCTGGGTCTTGGCCAGTGTTTGGGGTGAGGCAGGATCAAAATAACACTGCCCGGGACTCAGCTCCCAGGAATGAGAGATCAAGTAAACCAAGCTCGGCGGGTGAGGGGGTGGATTGAAAGCCCCCAAACAGAGCCAGCTTGCTCTTTACACAAGCCCTGACTTGCCCTCGAGCCACGTGGGCGGGCCAGCAGTTCTGCTTTCCTCAGGATGCTCCACAAGTCTGATCGACTGCCACCCCACCCCCCGCCTCCACTAACTCCCAGCCTCCTTCTCTTCTTTACGAACGCTAGATGCTCAAGGTTGCTGGACACGTCCAGGCATGTTCCCAATGCAGGTCCAATAAGAGCCTACAGGGCAATGCAGGTCCAGTAAGAGCCTACAGGAACTGGCTCGCCAAGACCCTAGGGATATCAGCCCAAATCCCCTGGCACCTCAGAAAGCGCTCTCCGCATACAAATGGATGGACTGACAGCCACGAGGCGCCCTCCCAATTGTTTTTGCGGCACCCTAGCAGGATCATCCTGACACGATTCTGTACTTCCGCACCTAGATGCCGCATGTCCCAGCCGCCTTGCCACAACAGTGTTCCCACACTTACCCTGTAACGGACGAGTAGATGGCTCTTGCTTGCAAAATGGGATTCCGGGACAAACCCACCTCAGCGGAGAGCAAACAACCCACCCAGCTTCCGCCCCTCGGCCCCCGCCCCTCGACCCCGCCCCTCGGCCCCGCCCCTCGGCCCCCAGCCTGCCGAAACACTCACAGCGGAGGAAATTCCTTGTAATCAAAGTTCCGCTTGACTCATTTCGCATCCACGTGTAGCTTCAACAGCCCAAATCCTTCTTTCAGGGTAAGCTTATCTCTTCCTCCCCAGTGAAGTTCCTAGAGCAGCTATTGGACTACTTGAGTGTCTAGGCGTGGCTACGAAAAGAAACCCTGCCCTTCAGAGACACAATGTGAGGCTGAAGAACAGTGACCAAGCGACTGGTATGACAGGAGCTGCAAAGCTCTTGGGACTGAAGCGAGGCCAGAAAGTAAAGGGCCACGGAGTTGGGCCTAGAGAAAGCGTCAGGTTGTCTCTTTCACAGCTGAGTGCACCTCAGCTCATCCAAGTTTGTTCACGAGTTAGCAGGCTTGGAGCTTGACAGGGAAAATTATTGTTGGAAAAGCCAAGATTTTCAGACACATAGAGAAGCCACTTTCCAGCTCTGGCTCTGCCTCAAAAAAATACTCCTCCGTTCAGAAGCGTAGGTAGTATTGTGACAGGAGGAAGAGAGCAAAAATGAAGCAGGGAAAAGACTACTAAAAATAAAGGAAAACTGTTTTTGGCACTTAGCTCTGATCACCCACCTTCTCTGGGCCCTGATTGTCTGTACAAGGAGGGGGTTGAACTACATAGTCTCTAAGGGCACTTCAAGCAATGACACTTTGGGATTTTATTATCTATGATCTCAGAGGCAGCAGTGGATAAATCCTGAAACGTTACTGGTCCCTGACCTTGAAGAGCTTGCAGAAGAGTTGGGAAGATAAACTTGACTGGACAGAGTCAGAAGGCCAAACTATGAGGTACAGACTACAAGGGTTGGGGGGCAGGTAGAAAGAAGTAGTAAAAAAGAGTTTGCCAGGGAAAGCAAAGGCTTTTCAATCGATTTGGAGGTTTTAAAAGAGGTCAAAGAAGAAATAGCATTATGGGTAGAGGAAAAGAAAAGCTTGAGCCAAGGTATGGGGGAGAGGACTGAGAAATGTGCCGTTATCAGCCTCTGAGGGGCTCCTCCTGTACTGCTCAGAGGCTATATGCCGGCTCAGGATAGGGTCTCAGCATAGCACCTGAAAAGCTTTTGGTGGCAAAGGGCTGAACAGGCCCTAAGCTGAAGTAGAAAAAGTCCTAAATGAACGTTGTATCTGTCCCCTTGCTAGAGTTGAGACCAGAATTAGCTACTGTGGGCTCAGGCCTAGGAGGACGGAAAACTGCCAGAATTGGAATCCTAGGTCTGCCTCCTACTAGCTTTATGACCTAAGGCAAGTCACTTAACCACTCTGTGGCTCAGGATTCTCTTCTGTAAAATGAGGAAAATAACAATCCTTTACTCATAGGATTGTTTTGGGAATTATATGAGTTAATATACAAAATAATGTTCATATGCATAAAGAGCTTAGAATGATTTCTGGGACATAGTGGTATAGAAGTGTTTATTAAATATAAATAAATAAATACATGAATGCACTTTAGGGCCCTCTGAAATTATCTGTGAGATTAAAATGAAAATAGCTACCCTGGATACCTCTTAATTCTGTCCTGTACTTTCCTAGAAAACAGGACCTCTGCTTTTTCTCCATCCTTCCCTACCCAGAAAGGCTGAGTTACAGTTTTGAAACTTTTATGTAGTAGAAAGAACCCTAGCTTGAATGTAGATGTCTTCACAAAACTAAATATAACATCATGTAAATCTTTTCCTCTCTCTTAGCCTTTCTTTCTGCATCTGTACCCTGAAGAGACTGTTGCACTGCATGACCTTGAAACCCTAGATCAATGCTTCTCACATATTAATGCACACACAAACCACCTAAGGATCTTGTTAAAACACAGATTCTGAGTTAGCAGTTCTGGTGTGGGGCTAAGACTCTTATTTTCTAACTGCTTCCAGGTGATATTGATAATGCTGGGCCACAGACCATAGTTTCAGTAGCAAAGGTCAAGAAAGTGTACAAGAAGAACATTTACTGAACATCTGTATGTCATGCATATGTGTCTCTTTACATACCTTATAGCCATCCTATGAGGTTGAGATTACTATACTCATTTTGTAGATGAAGCGGCTCCTTGTACCCTGTGATTCTGCCTGGAAGTACAGGAGGAAACTTGAGATAGAGGTGCCAGGGAAATGTCAGAGTCCACAAGCTGTTGCTTGTGGAAACTGATTATAAGCAGCAAATGTGAAGCTACTGTCCTCTACCATAACTTGTCCAATAATACCGTAACAGTTAGCTGGCCCTCACTAAGCACTTGCCAGGCACTGTTCCATTTTTTTTCTTGAATTAATTCATTTTATCTTCACAATTTATAAGGCCACAATCAGAATGATCCTCACCTCTCTTTTGCTAACACCTTACATTCAACCCATCAGCACATCCTGTCAGCCCTGCCTCCTGCCTCAGAGATAAACTCTGAATTTCAACAACTTCTTAGCACCTTCACTGGAACCACTCTGGTGCAAGCCACAATTACCTTTCACCTGAATTATTGCCATATCCTCCAGCTCTCCTTGGTATATTGTCCTTACCCCACTCCAGTCAGTTCTCAGCAGTGCAGCCAGAGTGATCGTTTTAAAAGTACATCAGTCTAAGTCTGTCCAAGCAATTCTGCTGGTTAACTTCTTATTCAATGGAAAAGCCAAAATCCTTAACTACAGTATGTAATGGTCTACAACCCATCCCACTCTGTCCCACCCCAACTAACCTGCTCCTCTATCTCTGATCTCATCTCTTACCACTCCCCTTGACCACCATAATCAACCCCACTGGCTGCCTTGATATTTATTCCGACACTCAAAGCATGCTGCAGACTCTGGTCTTTGTATTTGCTGTTCCTTCAGCCTAGTCAACTCTTACCCTAGATATCAGCATGGCTCCTTTTCTCACTTCCTCCATATCTCTGCTTAAATGTCACCTTATCAAAGAGGACGTTTTTGAATACCCTATCTAGTACAAGCTAATAGAATTGACTAGGCCTTTTGAAATCCACTGGGTAGGTGAGCTTTTTCTCAGCACTAACCCCAGGACCTGAGGTGCAGTGTGGTGGTGGGTAGGGTTAAGGCTCTCTGCTCTCTATGGGTGAGCCACTTTAGCTCCGTGTGCTTGTGCAGCAGAACTAAGTTTGGATCAGCTCATTTCTTGAGGGCTTTCCACATACCCTCCTTTTATGATAGGCAGGAGTCACTTCATGAATCCAAACTGAGTCCTATCGGTAAAGAGTTTCTCTGCCTATACTATAGTGCTGGAACCAGCCTAACCTGACAGCAGGATAGGCAGGACCAGCCTCCACTCTGCTTATCTCTGGGGCCAGACAGATTCTAGGGCTCAATGAGATTCAGAACTCACTGATGCCACCCCTCAGCTCTCTTTCAGAGGTTACTTAGGGTCAGTCAGGGGAATACTGGCCTTATCTGTGTCTCAGAGAATCCTGAGTAACCTCTAATTCTAGTGTCCAACAAAGGCAGGACAGCATTTCATGAAGGAGCTTCATGGTTATCCGGGCAGAATGGGGCCCTTGTAGCTCTTCTCAAGACTGGGAACAGGGAGTGGAAAAAGAGGTTGAAAGACTAAGGGGATGCTGAGGCCTGTGGGGCAACTCCTATAAACTCAAACATTGCTAGGGATGTCCCTGAATACAATATCAGCTTCTTGTTCTCGTTAGTCAGCCTGTGAGATGTGTGTAGATAACCCTGGCCATACATATCTGATGCAATGGTGTATACAAGCTTAGTTCTTCTGAATTAGAAAGCTGGCGTATAAGAGTTACTTCCAAATGTGGGAATTTTCAAACTTCAGTTGGATTCTAGCACAGTCCAATAGTGTTATCTCTAATTCTAAATCATCTTCTATTCCACTTGCCCAAGATGGCTTTTAAAACTCACTGTTCTTACACAGCTCCCAAACTCCTAGCAGATGACTTCACCTCCAGGTTCACTGAGAATGTAAAAGGGCACCAAGCTTGAGCTCTAAAAACTTCTGACCTCTCCACATTCAAGTTCACCCTGTTTCTTACCTCAGAGATTCCTCCTGTCTCCATCCGTGTTTACTCCTTCTGTCTATTCCATTTTGCTTTACTTGTATCTTCATAGTCTTTCTTCCTCTGGCTTCTTCTCCTACATTGTCTTTCCATTCTGAACTAGGATTCATTGCTTTCATATCCTCACGTCCACCTCTTCATTTCCAAACTCACGATAGTCTGCTCTTCTCAAGGTCACCCATGAATTCTTTACTATCCAACCCATGAATTCTTCTGTTTTCTTATTTGAATTATCTATAACATCCAACATTGTTTGGATTCTTTTCTTTCTGATTCTCTTGCCTTGACTTTCATGGAAACCATGTCTTCTGGTTTCACTTATTTCTCTACAGCATTTTCTGGATTCTCATTCTCCACTTGCCCCTCAAGTGCAGGGGTTTTACAGAGTTCCCCCAACCCTTCATTGGCCCTCTGGCCTGATTCCAACTTTTCTCACTGGAGTGTGAACCTATGTGGCAGAGACTTTGTATACCATTTCACTAATTTTCACATGAAAAACAGTACCTAGAGTGTTTTAAGTGCTCAATACATTTTTACATATGTTATATATCAATACATCTGTTGAATAAATGAATGGGTGGGCCCAAGGAGGAAAGTTCTCACATTTGAATTTATCCTTCTATAATGAGCTCCCAGGCCTCAGGTGTGCCATGATAAATATAACATGGCTGCAAAAGAATTGAAGCCCACATCCAAAATAATAATAATAGCCAATACTTGTTCAGTGCTTGATGAACTCTATATGTCAGGCCCTATGCCAAATGTTCTATACGCAATAGCTCATTTAATCATCACAATAATCCTGTGAGGCACAAACCATGACATCACTCCTATTTTATTTGTATTTATTTATTTTTTCCTATTTTATAGATAACAAAATTGAGACACATAAGTGATAGGTAACTT